TGGGCTCCCATGTAGTCGACCACGGTTCACGCCCCAGACCCGATGGCTTAAACTCACACCGGACGCCTGTGCGTGTGTGCCCAAGATCCCAAGAGGAGAATGGAGGAGAAGGGATTGCGACATGGCCATCCCCCCTGGGGGGGCGACTTCTCGCTTTCTGTCTCTCTGTCTCTCTCTGTCTTTCTGGTGAGTGCATGCGCCCTATAGCAAAAAATTCTCCCCTCCCCCGCCCCCCCCCAAAAAAGAAATGGAGTCATTTTTGGGAACTGCCCAGTAGTACCATGGTAGTTAAGGTGCTGGATCCTATATGGACAACCTCACTGTTGGGGTCCCGAACCCGGTGGCATGAAGGACATGTCAGGCACATGTGCAAGTGTGCCCAAAATCCCAAGGGGAAGAAAAGAATACATGTGGTCTATAGCAAAAAAGAAAAAGACAGGAAGAAAAAGAAATGGGTCATCTGTCCGGAAGAGTTTCCCACGTATCCTTTATTGTGTCTCTCTGTCTCTCTGTCCCGTGTTTTCTGTACATGGCAGTTACATTTAGAAGCGTGGTCAGACTCATGTTTGATTTCTTGGGCAAGAATGTTCCCTGAGCCCACTGTGTTCCTTTGTGTGTGTGTGTGGGGGGGGGGCGGCTGCAGAAGCCTGCTTGTCTTTGGGGCCCATTAGCAGCTTTCATTGGTCATTATGCAGATCCATTAACTTATTAGGAGTGCAGATGGCTTTCAAATACAGGAAAAGACATCGACCTCAATTAGAACTTTAAAAATGAAATGTTAAAGTATGAGGACTGCTTTTTCATCTGCCAGACTGACAAAGATCAAAGAGTGTTATCAGTGATGTTGGCAAGAGTGTAGGGGACAGGCAGTTTCCCAGGATGCTGGATTTGACTCTGTCCTTCAAAATGACAAATGCGTATTTTCTCCGGCCCAGCACTCCTGCTAGCAATTTATGCTGTGGATACAGTCACATGTGTGCAAGTATGAATACACGAGGCTGTTTGCTGCAGCACTGCTTGGATTAGCAAAAATTGAGAACTACCAAAGTGGTCCTTCCTTAAGCAGAGCTTCCCAGCTGGCTACCAAGTGGTCACAAGTTAGAGTCTTAGTTATGTGTGGCCTTGGTGGACAGTTCTCATCAAAGAGCAGGCATTGGGTCTCCGACCACAGGGTCACGCTCTCCCCGAGCTTAGAGCAGGCAGGAGGTGTCCAATGTCAAGGAGAAGCACTTGAGGCAGCCCTCAGCTGATCAGGGATTGGAGCTGCTAGGTTAATACCTTGGTGTTATTTTTGTAAAATTTTAAAATTAATTGGGGCCAGCAGATGGTGTAATGGTTACATCACTGGACCCCCCAGGTAGTTGACCGTGGTTTGAGTTTTGAACCTGGTGGCTTAAACTCATGCTGGGTGCATGTGCGTGAGTGCCCAAGATCCTGAGAGCAGAATGGAGGAGAAGGGGTTGCAGCAGGGCCATCTCCCCTGGGGAATGATGTCTCACTTTCTGTCTATCTCTCTGGCAAGTGTACATGTCCTATAACAAATATCCCTGTAAAAAATGTATTTTAATTAATTTTTTTTAGCGATTTGTGCTATAGGGTGAGTGTGCTCCCCAGAGAGACACAGAGAGACAGACAGAAAGCAAGAAATCACCCCCCCACAGGGGGTGGGGTATGGCCACATCGCAATCCCTTCTCTTCCGTTCTCCTCTTGAGATTTTGGGCACTCATGTGTGGTGTTTTGTTGTTGTTGTTGTTGTTTGTTTGTTTTTTGAGAAGTTTTTGCTATAGGGAGCGTGTGCTCGCCAGAAAGACAGAGAGAGACAGACAGAAAGCGAGAAATCACCCCCCAGGAGGGATGGCCATGCCACAGTCCCTTCTCTATTTTCCTCTCGGGATCCTGAGCACGCACGCAAACGTGCCTGGCATGAGTTTAAGCCACTGGGTCTGGGACTCAAACCACAGTTGACTACATGGGAGTCCAGTGACATAGCCATTATGCCAACTGCTGGTCCCGTTTTTTTTAAAGAATTATTTTATTATTACTTTTTCACATGAGTTTTGCCAGAGAAAGAGAGAGAGAGAGAGAGAGAGAGAGAGA